GACAAAAATCGTGCACCTATGGATGAGGACAGAGGGGGGGTGAGGGCGGAGGGTGGGGTGGGAACCAGGTGGAGGGGAGCTATGGGGGGGAAAAGAGGAACAACTGTAATAATCTGAACAATAAAGATTTAATTAAAAAAAATAAATGACACTAAATAAATAATTAAGACACTGAAAAAAATTTGCATGTTTCTCTTTTATTAGTGTAGATAGTGATGGAATATAGGATATTGGGGTGGATTTTAGAGAAATCTTTCACTAAAGCTTTCTGGCCTTCACTTGAATTAGCCAACAATATAAGGGAAAGGCTAATCAGGATTTCAAAAGCTTACTTGAGAAAATTCTCTATCCTGCCCTAGAAGCTTATTAAAAATGAACCTGACCTACCACTCTTTCCTCCCTCCGCCACCCCATTTTCTACCCAGCAACTTTTACCCTTAGGGGGAAAAAAGTACAAGTATAGCATTACATAAAGTATGTGATTGTTTAACCACTATGCTGTACACCTGAAACTAATACAAAATAATATTAAATGTATACACTTTTGATTTTTTAAAAAGTTTATACAAAAAGTTTATACAAAAAAAGTTTTTTAAAAAAGCTGGCCTTCATGGCTTGGAGATTGGGCGTTGACCTGTGAGCCAGGAGGTCATGGTTTGATTCCCAGTCAGGGCAAATGTCCAGGTTGCAAGCTAGATCCACAGTGTGGGGAATGTGGAAAGCAGCCTATTAGTAATTCTCTCTCATCATTGATGTTTCTATCTCTCTCTCTCCCTCTCCCTTTCTCTCTGAAATCAATAAAAAATATATTTAAAAAAGTTTTAAAAGTACAGCATTACAGTTCCTTTCTTTGGATGTCATTTCTTGCATCATTATTATCGTCTGTGTTTATTCATTGTCCCAAAAATCACAGACGTGCTGTCAATAGGGAATCCCAATATTATGGCTTGGACAAAATACTGAATCACAACAATCTCTTTTTACTATTAGTACAAGATATCTTAGAGCATCTATCTACTATGAATAATTAGTTCTTCATTTCTTCTTATCTTTCCCTTTATATTTTCTAATATATCCTTCTTATCTTCTTTCTTTTTGTTTTTTTCCTATTTTCTTATTCTTTCTTTTCCTTCGTCATCTTTCCTTTTTTCATTATGCTCTTCTCTGATTCTTGTTCAATTCTCTTCTTCCTGTTTTATTGTTATACTAGAGGCCCCAGTGCATGAAAATTCATTCACTGGAGGGGGAGTCCCTCAGCCCGGCCTGCCCCCTCTCACAGTCCGGGAGCCCTCAGGGGTGGGAAGTGACCCAGTGATCAGGGGAAGGTGACGCCTCATCACACCTCTGCTGCTGCCACTGCCGGCAGCGCAGGCCTCAGTTGGCCCTGTTTACCTGAGCCTTGGGCGGCTCTGAGTGGCTGGGCAGCTGCCATCCAGGCTTGCCTGCGCCTCAGGCTGGCCCTGGGCGGCTGGGCAGCCAACAGCTGAGGCTTGTCTGTACCTCGGGCATCGGCTGGGCAGCCACCATCCAAGGCTTGCCTGTGCATCCGGCCAGCCCTGGGCAGCTGGGGGACTAAGGGGACTGGGGGACTCTGGAGGCAGGCACATGGCGGGTCTGAGGGGACTGGGCACCACCATCTTTGAGGGCGTGGCAGTCAATGAGCATATTCTCTCCTTATTGGCTATGGGCGCTGCCGCTGCCATCTTTGAGGGCAGGACAGTGTATTAGCATATTTCCTCCTTATTGGCTGTGGGTGCCGCCATCTTTGAGGGTGGGGCAGTGAATTAGCACATTCCCTCCTTATTGACTGTGGGCACTGCCACCTTTGCTTAGCATATTCCCTCCTTATTGACTGTGGGCACTGCCACCTTTGTGATGGTGTGAGGGTCAAATAGCATATTCCCTCTTTATTAGATAGAATGACATGTTGATTTTTTTCTATCCTATTTTCTTTTCTCTCTTCCTTTTTCTTATGTTTCTTCACACACAGCATCTTCATTTTATTTTTTCTGCCTTTCATCTGTGCAATATTCACATTCATTGCTGTAGCTGAGTAAATATTCAATATATTGAAATCTTTTTGAGATATAATCCACATGCCATAAAACTCACCCATTTAAAGTATATTGGGTTAATGGCTTTTAGTGTACTCAGTCAATTTCAGAACATTTTCATTTTTTCAAAAAGAAAATGTACCTCTTGGTATCACCTCCCAATCCCCATAAGTCTCAGCCCTAGGCAACCACTAATCTACTTTCCATCTCTATGGATTTGCCTATTCTGCACATTTCATATAGATGGAATCATATAATATGTGGTCCTTTATGATTGGCTTCTTTCACTTACCAGGTTTATCAATATTGTGGCATGTATCAGCATTTCTTTTTATTGTAGAATAATATTCCATTGTATGGATATACCACATTTTATTTACCCATTCACCAGTTGATGAATATTTGTGTTGTTTCTACTTTTTGGTTATATTGTAAATAATGACGCTATAAACATTTATGTAAAAGTTTTACATGAACATGTTTTTTATTTCTCTTGTGCATATATACCGAGGACTAAAATTGCTCAATTATATGGCAAGTTCAAGTTTAACCATGAGAAACTGCCAGATTATTTTCCAATATGGCTGCACCATTATATATTTCCACTGGCAGTTTATAATGGTTCTAATTCCTTCATCTCCTTGACAATGTGTTACTATCTATTTTTTTTTATTATAGCCATCTTAGTGGGTCTGAAGTAGGATCTTATTGTGGTTTTAACTTGAATTTCCCTGATGGTTATATTAAATATTTTTGAATTTCATCACACACCAAAAAATTCCTAAAAAATTAGTTTTCCAAGGGCCATAGTATGTCACTGAAAAAGAATAACTTTTTAATGTTTCACATGGGAAGATCAGGGACTATACATTAAGGAAATTCTTCATATTATTAATTGCATGTTCTTAGCCTTGTTTCTAAATCCCAAAGTAAAAAATAAAGCAGATTTAGACTAAGGCCTAAGAATAAAGTCTGACAGTAAAGAACACCTGTCTAGTTTTTCTTTTTTCTATTTTTAGATCATCCCTTTTATACCTTTCACCCTCATTTCTTCTTCTTTCTTTCAAGACAAGTAATGCATTCTCATTTTGGGGGGAGGAGATTATGTTTGTGACTCCCTAGATTCAACTTGGGAGTGGAAAATATTAGAAATAAAAATATGATGCCTGCCCTTGTTCCCCAAGAATAGTAACATGTATTTACTCATCAAAGTTCAGTGTATTTGTCCAGTTCAGCACTTCATCCACTTCCCATTCCATCACAGAATCTATTCCACCATCTTCAATAGATTTTATTAGCCCCTTTGATGCTCTGTGAATTAAACCTAGAGTTTTTAGATTTGTTGACTTAGCCTCCAGGTGTCCTTTATAGTACCTAAGTAGAGGAAAGGAAGAGAGACAAAAATCCTTTGGAATACGTGATTACTAGTAGATGCACTTAGTATATATTGTTGTAATACTATTTAAATATAAACCATCTTTTTATCCTACTTAACTCAAATACCTCTAAACCAAGTTCTATGTGATGGGATCTTTTGGAAAAAGCAAAGCAGCATAAGCAACCACACTAACCAGAGAAGCCTCATTTCAAAATTACCTCTCAAGTAAGTTGGATTTTTATGATATAAAAAAACACTAAGTTATTATATCACTGAATCATATCATTATAGAATCAAAGGATCTTGGAGCCCAAATAATTGTCCAACTTGTTTTATAGATAAGGAAATACTAAAAGAGTTTAGTAACTTTTAGAAGGTCACGTTGCTAATGATAAATATAAAGAGGGAAGGAAAGAGAAAGAGAGGAATAAAAAAAGGGAAGAGAGTTATCGACATCTTTTTTGTGTCAGGTACTTCTCATACATCATCTTGTTTCATTCTCTTTAAAAAGACAGTTCATTTGAGACAGCTATTTTTATTCCCATTTTATGCATGAGGAAATTGAGACTTAGAGAAATTAAGAAATTGTTCAATAATATGTATGTAATATATATATCAGAGCCAAATCTAATTTTAAGCCCATACTTCTAAAGTACAGTTCTCTTGAAAAAACAAAAACAGAAGATAGTGGCATAGGTAAACGCCTGTACTCGCCACCTCCCACAACCACATCAAAATTACAAATAAAATACAGAACAACCATCATCCAGAACCACTGGAAAGCTGACTGAATATAAGTCCTACACCTAGAGAAGTCGAGAAGAAAGCACACTGAGACTGGTAGGAGGTGCAGAGGCATGGAACAGGGTCCGGCACTCACATGTGCCACTTTGTTAGTCGGGAGGGAGATCGTCTCTGTGGAGGCTCCCTGGAGGAGCAAGGGGTCCCAGCTCCACACCAGACTCCAGCCCAGGGTCCCAGAACTGGGAAAAGAAGTACCTATGGGCAGTAAGAATTAGTGCTGTAGAGTGAGTTGGGGGAAGAGGCGCTGGTGGGAGGGTGCCGGCCAATGTAGGGGAAAGAGAATGAGAAGAGGGAGGAGGGACGGGGTCGGGATGGATGGAGGAATCTTTGAGGGAGAAGAAAAGGCAAAGGGGGAGAAGCTGACGGGCGGGGGTTGGGGTCCGTTTGGGGGGTGGCGTGAGAGGAGACCCTGAGGGGACTCACCCGGGTATGGGGGGAGGGAGGACAGCGCTTCCCGGGGAGAAGCTGGCTGGGTGGTGTGGAAGGAAGGGGACAATGGAGAGGAGGCCCGAGGCAGATGGGAGGAGGCAGCCTGGCAAAGCGAGGCAGATGGCTGGAGCACAGAGCGCCAAGTTGCGGGAAAACTGGAGACGGAACCTCTGCCCTCTGAGAAATAAAAAAAATAAAAAAAATAAAATAAAGAATTATGTGCTGTAAAAACCAGTGTGGATTGGAGCTCAGTGACACAGAGGCTGCTGGAGACCCAGCTGCTCCTCCTAAAAGACCAGCACCACCAACTGAACTTACAAGGTCTCACTTCCTCTGAGCTCCAGCACCACGGCAAGGCTCTGGTGGACACAGACACATATGAGGAGGAACTAGATTTTCTGGCATCGAGGCAGGAACTCGGGGGTGGCTTTCTTCCAGATGGAGATGCTCACAGGGATCATTGTTTCTATGCTGGGACCTCTCTGATTGCAGGGATGACTGGCAGCGATTTCTGTTTGCTCTGCCCTGGTGATTCCTTGAGACCCCACCTCATCCAAATTACAACCCCACCCAACCTGTGAGCAGTGGCTTTTTGCATATGAATGGCCTGTCCTTGCTCAGGCTAAAATCTCTCAAGCAAGCTGCAGCTGGTTCAGGGAGCCTCAAACCTATCAATAAAAGGCCCAAGACCTGGCACCAGCACCAGCCTGCCTTGCTTCATAGCTGGGCCTCATCTGGGCACTTCCAAACCCGATACAAATTGGAGGAATCTGAATATCTCTCTGTAGCTTCTGCTGGGTGGCCCAAGGCAGTGGCTGACTTTGCACCTTCCTGGAGACCCAAGAGTCAGTGTACTCAGTGGTCAGCATCAGACCATATCAGATTATAACTCTACACATCCATAAGTGATACATTCAAGGGTCAGACTCAGTGAGCACCAAAGCCCCACTGAAGCAAGTCCTGCTCCATAGGGTTGTCTTCTGCACAGCAGCTCTCCCACTGTAGTCACAGCTGGTCTTCATAGCCAATTGGCCTGGAGGTCCATTCCTCCCAGTGACACCAATAGCAGTCAAGTCTCAACTACAATAAGACTGTGCACACAGCACACAAAAGGATGTACTTGGAGCTCCCAGTTCAGGTGACTGGGGAGGCTGAGCCACTGGTTCCTATAGAGCACCTACTACACAAGGCACCAACTCAAGGAGACATAGCAGCTCTGCCCAATACATAGAAACAAACACAGGGAAGCAGCCAAAATGTGGAGACAAAAAAA